AGTAGTCAATCAGCGCCAAGCGCCTTGAACAGACTTCTATCCATACAATTTGAAAAAAGGCAATTTGTCGTTTTCCGATAATCTTTACCCTCAGAAGCTAACCATATTGCCCATATATTCTCTTCGTGCACGTACATATTAGTCATTTTGCTGGGATCGTAGTTATCCGATTAATCTTCTCCCCTTCTTTCCCCATTTCGTCGATGAAGCCATCTATTTTGCATGCAAATTGATCATTTTCCAAATGAATGGCATTTCAGAAGACCTAGTTAAGCTGAAAAAGCCCTGAAAAGGCAAATGATCATATTCATACCAAGATGGGATGACTGAACATAGGATCATCCTCAGTTTCACTAAGTAAAAGTCTATACTCCGGTCAAGTGAATAACATGATAGAGTGGTCATGGGTGGGTTGGGTAATCCCATTGAAAATCATGAAAATTGGAAAATAATTGAAATCGAAAAACGTGTCCGCATAGTGCAATGCCCTAATAGGGCCTACTCTGCCTGAATGAGTGTTTTTACCTTTTCAGGCAATTCTCGTTACAATTATCCGGTCATGGGGATGGGTGTTCCGGACCCTAAGGAAGGAGGAGAATCTCGTGGACTTAGATGAACTCTGTTTGCGGTTGGGCCATGTGTTCCGTACCCATGGCCTGGTGGTCCACTACCGTATAGTTTAACAAATCAAAAAGTTTTAAAAATTCTGGGTTTCTTGATATAACAGCTTCCCGTACCTAACGGGATCACCTGCTTTTCAGAGTTTCCAGTTTGATTAGGTGAATTAGGCTTTTATCGATCCTCCTGAGTATTTTCATGCTGAATCCCTTTTTTCGAGTCGGTTTAAAAGATAGGATTAATGAAATTGAGAAGAGGATTAATGAAATTGAAAAATTTAGCTTGAGATAATATGATGCTTTTCATCGAGGCACATTCAATTGTTTTTGTTTTTGTTTACAATTGATTATTGCCGCAGTTCGTGTTGTCAGTATGATGGCAATTGTAGCGAGTTATCTGCAAAACCTTCAAAACTGAGGCATTCCTCGAAACCTTCAGTCAGCGCCCTTGACTTTTGCGGTGTTTTATCAAAAACTTTCCACAGTGAGGTGAAGAATGCGGGGCCAAGTAGAACGCTACCACATTTGCGGTCGCTGGATCAAATCCTCTGACCACACGTCTGATAAACCCGTGCAATAGCTGCCCAGCATGGTTTGTTTTACTGGTACCTGGGCCCCTTAGGAGGTCGAAATGACTGGCATAGACATCGGCTGGACGTTGTAAGTCATGGGTGACATAGGCAGTCAATCATGTGCTCTACGATCTTGGACGAAGTCGTATCGTTGGTGTATACTGCAAATGGAATCGATCAGTTCCGGTAGCCTTTCTCCTACTTGTCGAGGCCTTTTTGTATGCATTTCAGGAAAGTATTCCGGCCAACGTGCTCGTTCGAATACTTCCACAACAACGATGTCTGAATAAGCTTGGATAATCTGAATGCTAATACAATTCCGTATGCATTTGTATTCAAAACTTGATGTTTACTACAGGATGGCGATGTTTTTCAGCATTTTTTAGTAACTCTCTTTATTTTGCCCGACTTCCGCCATTACTTCACTTCTATACTCACATTTCTACTAATTATTGACAAGAAACACCACCCGAAAGGGATTGTCAACGTCATGGAATTCTACCTGGTGAATCATGGGAATTTCTTTCCTTCCACTGCAGAGGGAAGAACAGGAGTACCAAATACCATGAACTTCAAGGGTTGGGGATGTGGGAAGCGTAGGTTGGCTTCCAATTTCGAAATTTAATGCAAAGTTTTGAAAGATTGAGATGAATTGAGGTTATTCTATCGTTTTTTCCTTGGTAATGACGAATTCTGTTAAGTCCTTTGAGAACAGCTTTCGCATATGTCTGTCGTCCATATTATAGGTCTCTTAATTTGATAAACTCCATTCAGTGGGAGGCTATATTTTGTTGTAAAAAACAGTTCTTGTATAACGATTCACTTTCAAAAAATGCCAAGATTAATCAAATTTTATTTTCCCTAAAAGAGTTCCATTCCAAAAATCGGAGATTATAGGTTAAACAATAGATGAGAATTTAGCATCGAGATTTCAGACTTAAGAGGAAAAAAACCAAAGTTTGAAATCATCTATTGGGTGAAAATGTAGTTGGGGG